AGAAGAGCACCAGATACTTACTGAAAGCACTTCTGAGGCCTAATTTTCAGGTCAAGTAATAACCGATTTGTACAAGGGCAAAACGCACATTGCGTGAAAAAACGCAACAGGGAGGCATTTATTTATAACCCACCGGCTCCACTGTTCAGCGAGTAACTAAACGGCCAACTAGTTTGAAGTGGACAGTAAGAAAGTCACTGCTTGGCCACAAAGACTTACCTATCCCCACCTGCCAATAAAAAATGGAGAACTACATAGGTTTTACTGTTTTAGAGCCTGGGAAAAACCAAGCTGCTTTGAACTGACAGACTCAGAAACTCAAAGCAGCTAGCTGAGGTGCGTGGGCTCGGAGCTCCTGGCTCCTGTAAAGGGGCCCCCGTGCCTGGTGATGACGCAGACCCTCGGCTCCCCTGCCAGGAGAGAGACGTCACCCCTTGGCCAGCCGCACCACACAGCGCACCCCACCTGAGTGGGGTCCACCCTGCCATCTCCCAGCTTCTCCCTCAGCTGAAACACCCACTTCAGCTGCCGGGTTGAGCAGAGACCACAGGGGGGCCAGATGGAAGCTGGGAGAGGCAAGCAGCTGCCGCTCCAGCCCAGCAGTGTGCCAGGCCGGCAGCAAGAGGGGAGCTGAGAAGCGTTCCGTTCCGGACCGATTCTGATGGGAACGCTGACAAGGATGTGCTGAGGAGCTGGCTGTGGGGTGTGAGAAAAAGTCCAGCGTGGTTCCAAGCTCCAGGGGTCTGGCCGTTAACCGACAGAAAGCTGCGAGGGGGCAGGTTTGCTGGAAGACAGGGCAGGGCTGGAGGCCACGCGCAGCTGGAGGCGCCTGTGGTTGGACGTCACCTGCAGCCTCTCACTGACAAGTCAGCAAGATGAGGGGAGCCGGCCGACACGGGAGGACCAGATGGAAGGGACACCACGGAGCGAGGTGTCCCGGAAGCAGAGAGAATGAAGTGATTCAAGGAGGACTCTTATCCATGGTGTCAAATGCTGCAGAGGCGCTAAGACAAGGAAGAGCGCGGCCGCTGGCGTGAGCGGGAATGAAGTGGCTGGGGTCCTGGACCAGGGCAGCTCACGTATCCCTGTCCTCACAGAACGCAAGCTCCATGAGGGGAGCACTTGTTCTGTTTCCTGCTGGGTTCCAAGCACCTGGAACAGCGCTGCCACGTGGCCGTCACTCAGTGAGTCCTTGTTGAATGACCAAACCCTTAACAACAAAGCAACGTGGCAAACATGATGATGGAAGTGAACACGGGATAACATGGGAGGAGAGCAGGGCTGACTTGGACAAGGAAGAATTACGGAGAAGGAGCCGAGCAAGTGCCCGTGGTCAGGCCTGTGGTCGGCTCCACGACAGGTCACCCTGGGAGCTGGGCACAGGTGGCTCAGATGACGGCCTCGAGCGGGGAGACCTGTAGCACGGGGAGAAGAGTGACAGGCCATCTCACACACGTCCCCACACTTACCATGGCCAGGTCTATGACCCACTTCTGCAGGGTGAGGACGAACCAAGACATCACAAATCTTGCCAAGTGTTAAGGAAGTGGCCTGATTGGCAGCTCCATCCCCGCCGCCCCAACCCCCACCCGTGCCCATGGAAACCAACCCAGACCACAGAGGGTACCCAGGTCAGCCAAGTGGCGAGGCGGGAGTGGCTCTGCTAGAGCTTGTCAGATTTGGAAAAGACAAAAACGGTTTCAAGTGAACACCTGCTAGGCGTCCAAAAGAACAGAAGCAGATGATGGAGGAAAACTACAATTGAATCCTGTGTTCA